GAGCACTTCAGAGCTAAAAAAACAAGCATTTTTTTATGTCAAGTACAGTGGAGCCTTGACTTACGAGTGTCCCAACTAACGAGTTTTTCGAGATACGAGCCGTCCCTCGGCCGATTTTTTGCTTTGAGTTGCGAGCTAAAATTCGGGTTACGAGCCAGCTTCAGATACCCCACTGCTAGCTGGCGCAGCGAACGTCACAGTGAACGCCACATCAGCCCAGCATCATGTGTCTCACTCGTTCACTTTTTGATTTGACATACAAGCAATTTGAGTTACAAGCTCCGCCACGGAACGAATTAAACTCGTAAGTCAAGTCCCCACTGTACTAATATATTCTAATGAGTAAAATGTTCAATCTAGCAATAAAACATATAAAGATCCAACTAAGAAATTTATGTATATGCTTTTGCTAGTAGCTTCTTCTAACAGAACATGTTTCATTTTCCCACTAACTAAATAACTAATAGATCAGAATAGAAAACTGCCTCAAATATCATGTTGATAATTAGTTTTATTCATAGGAATAACATTTACCTGAATGGAAATGTTGCGATCCTGAGCAAATTCAAGTTCTTTGTTTTTCTCAGTTAGTGCCTTCAGTTGATTGTCTGGATAAAAGGAATTTTATGATCACACACAGGCTTAAAACTTGCAATGAACAGGTTTTATCCAACTGCCATTCATATACACTTTAAAATTAAGAAATTGAGTCTCAGAAAGACTGAGTTATATATCGCATTTTAAATCATAAATACATCCCAAATTTACTGTATTTCTAGACCAAATTTTAAAATAGGCTATCCTGTCTCCAAAATTCCATGTGATCATTCCAGCCAACCTTTATAGATAAAAGCATATGTAATTACCAACTTCCTTATTTTTCAATGACATCTTGCAAGTCAAACATAAAAAAAGTGAATTAAATTTACAAATAAGGAAACTGAGCTAAAACATACCAAAAAAGTTAGTAACATTTAACTCCATAAACTGTATACAGAATAAATCACAATAGACACTGTGATTATAATTCAGCTTATTAATCACTGTAAAGAAAGCCTTTAACATGGAAGAAAGGAAATTTTGCTTGATACTCAATTACCAATCCCACAACTTCCACTTATAATGGGCTATCTCTCCTTAATACAGTTTCTCTGCTAAACACATGAAGGTAATTAGGAAAGAATTAACTTTCTGAAATTTTCTTCAATTAAAACTCATCTAAATTATGTGCTAGCAATTTAACAAGCAAATACTTTTAATTATTATTTCCAGTGTTAAGTTCAATTTAAACAATTGGCTTATTACAAGAAAAAACCCTATGAAATTAGTCTAAATTTTCTATTTTGCTTTAAAGTTACTTACTGCTTTCCAAACTTACACATCCAGTATGATAAACTAAAAAAATATAAATGTAATTATACACCTCAAAGGTCTATTTGTTTATCTTTATCCCCATCTTCCCCTCCCTCTCCCTCTTCCAGATCTAACACAAGCAGCTGTAATCAGTCATTTTCCTGAAATTCTTTATCATCACTATTGTACAGACCTTCTTATTATGCCACGGCAAAACAATGTATAGACAATAAACTGGATCTAGTTACTCAATATGTACTTGTGCCCTCATTACAAATGTATCCATATCATACCATCACATGTATGTCGTGTTTTAAAAATGAGTTGTGCCAAAATTAGCTGAAAAACAGCATGACCCAAATAGCCAAAGGGCATGAACCTGGTTAAGAAAGAAGATTGATGTTTTAACCACTCTCATTATTTGCTTCCTGAATTCCTAACCAAATTGAAACCCATCTGTATCTAGTAACAAATACCATGCCCCTACTCTACCAGGTCTTTTTCTGACGTCTGCTTTCTTCTCCTGTAGACAAAGCAAATACACATCATCTTCCCAATAAATGTCAAGACCTTTAAGATCTTGTGTACTTTCTAGTAGTTAATGATGTAAGAAAACTAAGGAAATTAGCTACTCTTCTTTCACCTGAACTAGGATTAAGTAGGAAATATCTTGAGATTAATATTTATAAAAATTATAACAGAAAGTTAAAACAAATGGAATAGGTTTTAGTTTTTCAACAACATAAAAATAATTAAGCACTCTCTTTACCTTTTCAGTTGCATAATTGCTTTTATTTTTTCAAAGCGCTTTCTAAAATATCACATTTGGTCTGTAGAGTAAGTAGATCAGCATGTGGTTCTAGCCATTTTATAAAGAATAGTAATGCACTATTATGAGTTACATATGGCAAAAGAGCATTTTAATAGCACTCAGAACCAAAGGCCCCTGACCAACCAGTGGTTCTTAACCTTCCTAATGCCGTGACCCTTTAATACAGTTCCTCATGTTGTGGTGACCCCCAACCATAAAATTATTTTCGTTGCTACTTCATAACTGTAATGTTGCTACTGTTATGAATCGTAATGTAAATATCTGATATGCAGGATGTATTTTCAGGGGTGGCGACCCACAGGTTGAGAACCGCTGAAAACCTTATTTTCTTTTATAGTCTTTACCACTGAATGAAAAATAAAAATATTACCCTAAGTGAACAGTATTTTCATATATAGTAAGTAGATGTTTCCAAAGTATACAAAAGTGTCAGAAGATCTCAATACTCCACGAATATGATAAAGATGTAATTAAGCCCTAGCTGGTTTGGCTCAGTGGATAGAGCATCGGCCTGCAGACTGCACAGTTCCCGGTTCGATTCCAGTCAAGGGCACATATCCAGGTTGTGGGTTCCACCCCTAGTAGGGGGCGTGCAGAAGGCAGCCAGTCAATGATTCCCTCTCATCGTTGATGTTTCTATGTCTCCCTCTCCCTTATTCTCTGAAATAAATAAAAATATATTTTTTAAAAAAAGATGTAATACTTACTGAGCTTCTCCAGCTCAAGCCGCAAGCTTTGGCACTCTCGGGTCTCATTCACAAGTCTCTCCTGGCTGTGCGACAGCCTCTTCTCTACCTCAAAGTACTGTTGTTCTACAGAAGAGCAGAGGAAAAAAATAATAATAAAACACACTTGTACCCACAATTTCGATACTGCCACTTATTCTTAATAAGCTTCATCTTTAAAATTTAAGACATAGTATTGGAACTGCATTCCAAGTAAGAAAACTTGAGTAAAGGTAAATACATGTAGCACTGAAAATGACTTCAAAAGAAAATAAGACCCGAGGGGGATTTTACAAATTCCTGGTCTATCTGTCCCACTTCAAGGCAGGAAACATATCTTTCACATCTTAGTGTTTCCCCCACACATGAGCCAGTTGATATCTTAGCATAAAGCAGCCAAAATAAGCTTGATTAAAGGGAGAAAAAAATTATTTACAAAAACGGTTCTGCTTTAAAAAAGGCTTGTGTTAAAACAGCGAAAGTATGCCCCAAAGTATACAATTACTACATTTAAGTGAAAACAAATGCGTTAACTTATCACGCGAAGGGCTCTGCGCCAGTTCTGTTCAGCACTGCTATCGGGCCCATCAAAGACACTCAATACATGTGTGTCAATTCATGAATGGAAGGCCGTGGACTACCTTCACCTCTGGGACTCGGGAGATTAATTTTCAACACCTCAATTCTGCTACACACTTTGAAGTAAGAATTTATTCACAACTTTCAGCCAACGTAGCAAAACCCAGTAAACAATCCCCCCAAACAACTGGTAAACCACAGCGTAGAGCGGGCCGTGTGTGTGTGTTACTAATGGTTCGAGCCACTATGGTCGGTAACTTCGCTCTCACCGGAGGGTCTGCTCCAGGCATTAGTAATAAATAGGTCGTCACGTATTTTCCATTAAACTCCAGCTGTCGGAGGTTAAGTCCGACACAGTAAACGCATCTGCCGCCCGTTCCCTTGGCCGCCAGCGCCACGCCCCGCACCCGCGCATCTTTGTGCGCATCCAGTTCCCACGGACCAGCGCCGCTCACACTCGCAACCAGCGCAGAGACGGCCCCTTAGAGCCTGATGATTAGAGTCTAATGATTGGAGTCTGATGGTTGGAGCCTAATGGTTAGACCAACCGAACGCAGGTGAGCCGGCAACACGGCTGACACCGCCACGGTTTTCCGCGCAACTGACGCGCGGGGCGCTCTAGGCTTAGACTGAGGCTGCAGGCTCAGTGCGGGGGAAACAGACCCCAGACCGTCGCAAGTTCGTGTCCCGTGGGACTAGCCTCGTTACGAAGGAAACGGGCCTGGCTGGGGACTCAGATTTACAAAAAGAAACGAACAAAAAGGCTCCTGCGTATCCATCCCACTGAGAGAGGGGCCCGCGAGAGCGAGGAAGCGAGGCTACCAGGGCGGTCGCAGCCAGAGCGAGAGCTCGAAAGCGGGAAAGCCCGGCCACCGCGCCGGAGTCGGGCCCACCCCCCTGAGCGCGGGAAGGGCGTCACTTACCGCTCTCCACCTTAAATTTCTCGTGCCGCCCCTTCAGGCCGTCGATCTCGGACTGCTGGTCGGCCAGGAACTTTTCGAGTTTGTTCTGCACGGACTTCGGCAGCTTGTTCAGCTCCGTGCGCTCCAGGACCTGCTGCAACACCGCCGCCATGTCGGCCAGGCCGGGGGCCGCCGCGGCAGCGGCCGCCGGGGCCCGCGGCGGA